TCCAATCAATCGACGGGAAAATCAAAAATTCAATTCAATAAGTTGCAAAGCAAAGTTGATTTAGAATGACAAGTGGAACGAGTGAAATAATACAGTTCAAAGTGATAATGATCAGCTAACAAATTTCTACAGTTGGGTACCGATTGATCGAGAACGAAAATCGATCCGGTCAATCGCCACTCACATTCTGCACATATGTAGTCATGATACTGTGGAGGAAGAGTTAAATCTTTTGGGAAAAATCCTGGAAGAAAATGGATTTCCTCCACATTTTTTGTTACTTTTTTATTTTAGCTTGATTCTACACAGTATATTAGTACAAGTGTGGACTTTTCAGCATATGATATCGGTAGCCCAAATTTATCAGGCCGACACTTGATATCAGGTGTGCATCGGCCGGGGATCGAACCCCGGACCATGTGCATGGTCGGGGAGCATCCTAACAGCTGTGCTACCGGTGCAAGAACACAAAGTAAAAAACTATGAAATATGAATTAACGTCCGTAACCAAGAAAATGCTGTGCATAAGCTTGGAATTCAAGGGTGACATAGCTTCAGTTATCATGAAAAGAAGAATCTCACAATCCCTGAAAGGGGCATTCCCTGCTGCATCTTTGAGAATAGCCCTCACCAGTCGACCATTACTGTTCAGTAACATGTAGTACAATATTGCGCAGTCGACCAACTCTATGTGCGTTTAACAGTCTACCTGCTCTTGTGGGACTAGCTATGTCAGTCGTCTGACTCGAGTTTTGTCCAAGAGGGTACAAGAACACCGTCCTGAGTGGTTCCAAAGAGGTGGAAGTGAAGCAATAAAAGAGCTATCGTTAGACATTTGGTCGATAATAATCCCCCTATCTCTACAGCCTCCACCTTTAAAGTCATCTACAAAGCGAAAAGTAATTTGCTCAAATCGCTATGTACCCGACTAATCTTTATTGCTGGAGCTTTGGCTATCAAAACAAAAAAGCTGTCTCTCCAACTTTCATGGTCTTTATCCTTCTATGCTAAAGTATGGTAATCCTTAGCCATATTTTGGCTCTACCAATTTTTTTGTTTTGTTTATTCAATTTGTATACTCTTTCTTTATTACGTCAGTTGTTACTATTACTATTCTCACTTTGAATTATCCCTTGTATTATTTCACTCGTTCTACTTGTTGACTAATTCTTGATAGAAATCTTACAATCTAGTCTAAACTGTTCAAAGAAGGAAGACAGGCAATTAAGTGTGCTATTCTGATGCAAACGGTATTGAATAGCTTATATCTATGTACGAGGTGTGACATTCTTAGCCTTCAGAATCTTAAAACACTTTTCGCTTCATATCAGTAAACAGTTTGAGCATTGTGGATTAGATTAAATAAAGTATAATTATATTTCAATAGTTTACACACAATGATAAGTTTTGTTATTGGTAATATTTCGAGCAGAATTACTGCCCGTGTTCACACCACTGTCGGAATTGTTTTATTCACACATTTATAATTTGTACTCATATATATATAGTTCATCATTTTTATGCTCATTCATGTTTTTTATTCAGAATTATATTCCAAGTTGTTGATAGTTGTACTGAGTCACACTTGTTACATGTATCCGGTGTGACCTTAATGAATATAGATTCTGTCATTAGTCTCTCTTTCCATTTGTTCTTGTTAGTTTTTAGAATACACATATTGTTTCAATCGATATTGTAGTTTTTGTCCCATGCATGTACAGCTAACGATGAAATTTTTTCAAGATTCTTGTAGGCTTGTGTTCCTGTTGGTTGACTTTTGGTTAGGCGTTTATGTTCATTCACTCTTATTTTGAGTGATCTGGACGTTTGCTCTACATATTTAGTCAGATAGTCAGCACAAGATATTTTGTAAATCAGATTGTTTATATCCGTCATTTTTATGGGATCTTTCAGTGGATTTTATTTTTGATTAAATTCGTTGGTTTAAACGTTGTTCAAATGCTGATATTTTTGTTATTTCCACCAGGTTATTTTATGAATGAGATCCATCAAATGCTGTAAAGTTGCTTATTTTATAATTTCATCATAAGTGAGCAAATTTATAATGACACCAGAAATATAATGGCTAAATTTTATTGCACCTTTAGTCTTCTCCCTTCGTCAAAGACATTGATTAGAATATAGTTTATTGTGTCAAAATATTCTTTGGTAAATAGTCCAGCAGTATAAAGACCAACTGACCACTATCCACGTCAAATAAAATACTAAGTCACATCATTCTTGATATACTGGACACAGAACTCCGCCAGCCCAGAACAAGCTCGACTGAGGAAAGGCAAATCATGTGCTGATCAAGTTGCAACTCTACCCATCATCATCATCATCATCATCATCGAAAAAAGCATGAAATGACAGTCAAAACCCTATCTCAACTTCATCGACTTTTAAAAGGCCTTTAACAGACCGGACCGAGAAGTTATTTGTAAACTACTTCAGTAATAAAGAGTGAACCAAATCCTTATTAACCTCATCCAATAGCTATATGATGGTGGCACGTATCAGGTGAACCACAATGGATAACTCAGTGAAGAATTTGAAGTGAATTCAGGAGTAACACAAGGCTACCTGCGTATTATCCCCAATGATGTTCCTAACTGTGGTGAACTAGACTATGAGTAAGACTGGGCTTGGGAGTGAGAAGACAAGAATGTTCTGGATCAATCAGAATACTCCATTAGATCTGGATTTCGAACGTGCATGACTTATGTCCATTGTCACGCAAACACAAAGACTTAAAAGTGAAAACCAACAAACTGCCTCAAGAAGCAAACAGCGACGACAGAAATTCAAGTGAAGTCATAGAAAAAAGACGGAGGCGATGAAGATAACCAACGAACAACAACAGTAAACACAATTGGCATAGATCACCATCAAAGGGAGAGATTTAATAGAGGTTACTTCCTTCTTTTATCCAGACAGGAAACATCAACTACAGGCGAAACGAATGATGTCGGAGTCTGAATCGGAAAGTCAAGACACACCTCCATCAACCTGAAACCAGATTGGAAATCTTCTGTAATCATCTAGCGTAAAGAACAAGATTTGGATTTTCAACACCAATTTGAAGTTGGTCAGTTCTTCTATAAGAGAAAGAAACTTGGCAAGCGTGTCAAGAAAAGAATTTTCAACAGGCTTCTGTAGAATTTTATCAACAGCTGCCTTCGCTCCATACTGAAGATCAAATGACCAGCCGGAAAGAATTAGTAACATGAAACTGTGATAAAAAACCAACTAAGAGCCGATCGCTCAGCAGATATGTGGGAGAAAATGGAGCGGGATCGAGCAAACGTTGAGGCCATCGAGTGGAATCTAAGTAGGAAGAGACAAGTGGGTCGTCAGTGCAAGGGTGACATGAGGGAGATCGTGTGGCGAGGTGTATATAACAGATTATGGATAATCTTGGACCCAGCTGAAGAGGACGGAAGAAAATAGAATAAAGTGGAGATGTGTTGTTGAAACATTGTGTTCCACACGGAACCCAAGAGAATAATAATAATAAACCATTGTGCTTCTGCTCAAATACATGATATAATTATAATATGTAACTTCGCTGAATGAAAAAGGTACAGGATATCCAACTTCATATATCTATTTTCACTAGATAAAATCAACTGTTATCAAGCGATGATTGGAAAGGTAAAGCAAGCCTTCCCCACAACATAATTGCATTGAAGATCTAAGGCAATTAGCACAAGGAACAAAATCTAAATTTCTAGCATTGATGTCAAGTTAGTATTCCCATGAGGTTCAGAGAACTGGTTTGTCAACAAAACCAGATCCAACAGGCTGTAGACCTTCATCAACATCGACCTGTGCACGATACAGAACATTTGATGGGCAATCAGAAGGCTCAGTGAATCACGAACTGTGGAAACAACAAGCCAGCCATGAACCATTTGCCCACTAGATATGAAGAAGGAAAGCGAGGTTGATTGGACATACCCTTAGGTGACTTTCAAATAACAACACTCGCTACAACCTAGATTGGAACCCAAATGAGAAGTGATGACATGGATGTTAGTACAAGCTTACCTAGAAGAGGTCATGAGAGGAACTGGCTGAAAGCGATGTCGGGGAAACCGACAGTAAAGGATATGCGCCAATGCAGTTGTATGTTCCATTCGGCATACGAAGTGAATAGAACGGAATAATATAATATTTAATGACCCGAACAAGGATTAATAAAAAAAACATCTGACTCAACCTAGACAAATACATCTTATAGTATTACTTCCAGTCTTAGACACTGGCACATTTATATAACCAGTTATTCTCTTAACATTAAATTCTTATAGTGAGTAGATCTGTCATCATGATTTAGAATTAAACAGTATTATTTTATTGAGTAATCGTATTTGACCACCTTGCATAAGTTCATACTTTCATCTACAAAGGGTAAGTGCATGATGTCGTATTATCGGTGTTTAGGTCATCTTGACCTAAATAGCCATAATTGCTGGTTTTATTGACTCACTTTCAACTTTTAATTTCAATCAGTTGTACTTATCACTTTCGAGTAACAACACACATTATCAAGTTAAAGTATGCCTATCGTATTTTAATCCTTCTTAAGGTATGATTTTCGTTAAATGTTTTAAGGACAGATATCACAAATGTATTATCAGTGGTCGCATATTTTTCACACGAGATTAGTTTTATAACCATACACTTAGTCAAAACGAATCAAAAATACGCTGCCTGGGACAAATGGTCCGCTAAGCATAACCTGTTTCAATTTATTTTTCAAATAATAGCTTCGAAACTCATTAGTCTCAAAAGTCTATGTTTAAAATAAGGTACTTATGGAAGACTAGTTAAGCTGTCAACTTTCCGGGGAAGACATCAGCGTATATATATATATATATAGTACCCTTTAATAGGCTAATGGTGTATTACAAGGCTAATAGATATTCAACGTGATCGTTAAACTTTATTATTATCAGGCTATTAAAATCATGCTAAGCATATGGGTTACTTACCTTTGCGACTTTTAGAATTCCATTCATCCTCACTTAATCCCAGCCAACTGTCTATTGTTTCACTAGGAGTTTTGTAGGGATATTGTTGTTTATACACTTGATCAGTTGGTATTTTTCCAGGAAGCTTTTGAAAATTATTGGGATAAATATTATTAAAATTCTGTGTCCTACCCTGGACCATTGTTGGTTGACCTGAATTATAAGCGTATGACGGTGTTACATGATCATCGTAAGACATATTAATCGTGGATGTAGTCATTGATGGTCCCAAAGATGTTTCCATAGCGTTAATATTGTTTTGTTCATCTAGTAACTTTCGTACCTGTTTTATTAATGCATCGATTGAATCAGGATTTGTTACATCTTCACAAGGAACTGGTGTTTTACTTCCAAGGATATTGGCATTCCCACTAGTGGTACTACTTGGTAAACTTAAGCTATTTAGATAAGTTGAATTTAAATTTGAAGGATTATTTACATAATTGTTACCATTTGAAACAGGATTTTCTGAAGATGTGAAGGCATTCATTTGATCTACAGCGGTCAAATTTTGTAGAAGACTGTTTAAATCTTGTTCGTTAACCGTTTGATTGTTGTCTAGCATGCCAGACCCAGCCACAGCAGTAGCAGCAATCGCACCAGCTACAGCCGCTAGTGTCACTTGATTTAAATCTGAAGGTCCAAGATCTAAACACATTGAATTAATCTGATTAACAAGCGACGGATTGTAAGAAAGAGCTTGTAAAAGTTCAGGATTATTAATTAGTTCCATCAATGAGTCGTTTGTCACTGTCAGTGGCTGATTGATGGATGCTGATGTAGAGTTTCCTTGCATTGAGGTACTATCTGCATTTTCACTTATATTGTTAATTAAAGGCAATGGGTTAGGGTTAACAGAGTTCAGATTCGATGTAGTTAAGACATTTGGCATAGCGGGAAGTTGATCATTTGTTGTTATATAATGCAAAGGTTCAGATAAAACACCTTCGATTCTTCCTTGTTCAATATTCAGTGGAAGCCTACTTGCTGCAGTAGAGAATATTGGTGGTGCTAATGTGGAAGAAATAAGAGTCGTTGGTCTCATATCAGAACTGTCAGTATATGCATTTTTCACATTTAAGTAATTATGAATGTTGACAGTTGAAAAACTTGATGGCCAACTGGGTTCAAGTGGTTCATCAGACATCAAACTTTTCAGCAGACGACGATGATGTTGTTCTACTTGCCTTCTAAGCTGTCTTGTAGTAAAGTCACGTGAGTCAGTATGACGATCAAGTGAACCGAACCTCTCGCTTTTAAGTTTTTGTGATTGAAATGAATCTGACAAGTTTTCTTCATCATCAAGGTTAAATTCTGAATGTGCTGCGGCCAGCCGAGCTCTTAAAGTTTGCATAGAGGTACATCCTGAAATTTTTCCTAAATCATCTAACTGACTTAACTGACCAGTGGATTTTGAAAATTTCCCAATATTTTGTGATACACTGTCAGCCTTACCCCAGTCATCTGAAAACATTCTTCGATGCACTGAAACATCTGTATGTAATGGAGCATGACGTTTAGTTATGGAAGAAGGTCGAGAATGCCTTGTTCCTCGCCTGTGATAGTCATGAAGTGGAAGGGAATAGTAAGATCCAGCCTCCAAGTAAGCAGAATCATTGGACCATCTTGTTTGTGAAATTGGTGCAGCCCTGTAGGTTGGCGTGGAACTCCTTAAGGGTGGTCTTCTTAGTCGAAAGCTTGTTTCACTGTCTTGATAGGCTTTGTTAAAACGAGATGTGTACGTAGAATCCTGTGGTCTTTCTGAGTTTCTGCTAGACAGTGGTTTAATTCCTCGACTGGTATCTTTCAGAATTCTTTGTTGTAAAGCCATTTCAACTTCACCTGATCTTACATGTTTAAAACGACCTGAAGTTTGGACAAATCCTAGTTTACCTCGACGATCATGACGTATTGCAGATACTAAACTGGACTTATCTTTCTGCTGAAGTAATGCTCCTGCTTCAGAATACGATCGGTAAGGACGGCTATCATAATGATGCTTAAGACTGCTTTTGGAAGACATCCTATTATATGTTCGACTGGATTCAGGATAATCAGATGGCCTAATAAATCTATCTGGATAAACATCATGAAGTGATTTGTGACTATAAGATGGTCCTGAATAGGCAGCTGAAGAAGAGGAATTTGGGCTTTCATATGCTGCAGGTAAATCATCTCCTAAATTGTTTACTTCATAACTATAGGTTGATGAATGCGGCCTTCTCCTTTGAGGCAAAAAGTAGGAACCCCGGGAACTGGACGATGAAGACATATACTCCATGTGAATATTTTCAATATCACTTATTTGCTCAGGAATAGAAGTCAATAATGTCTCCTGTTTTATACGCTTTAAAATATGTATATACCAATGAGAATGGAAGGGTTCCCATAAGTGTCTGTTAGCAAAATACTCTTCAAAATTTGATAATGATGACAACTGTGATTCATTTGATCCAGTTTCGTTTTGCTTTGAATGCGCGATAGGTACATGTAAAGAAAAACTGCTACATTCCGATAAGGCATCAAAATTAGTATTATTTTCTTCTGTTAATTGACTACTCAATGACTGTGGACAAGATAATGAAAGGAAGTAATTTTTGATTGATGATTTTGAGAGGTCTTTTTCACATATAAAACTAAAATTATTACTACTAGAAGTGGTAGTATTGTCTGTTAAAGCGAGAAGGGTATCTGTTGGATCTGGTTCATAAACAGGTGAGCTAGAAAGAATAAATTGAGCTCGTTTTAGTGTTTTCTCACTAGAACAATAAGATGGTTTTATCAGAGGTGTAGTGAACTTTTGCTTTGCACTTAATTGAAAGGTGTCTGGTTTTATATTAAAAATTTCACTGTTTGTTGTACTGGTTTCGCGAGATTTATTTTCCGGGATATAAGATAAATTTTCCGAAGATTTTTCAGATAAATCATCTGGCTTTAAATGAATACTTGTTCCTGAGTTTAACTCATCATTCAAAATTTTGGGTGTTTGACTCAACCAATTGTCAGTTATGTACTGTCCATCGAAAATTGAATTCGACTCTTCTTGAAATGCATCTCTAGGTAAATTTAAACAATCGAATGCATAAAACGACGACCGTGAGTTTTTATAATTGGATTGATCAATAAGATATTTTAAGCATTGATCAGAATCATGACCTACAGTAGTGGGATGGGATATTTCATCTAACTGTGTACTAGATTGCCTTACCTCTTCCTGATTGGTTATTTTCATATTTCTGTCTTCCTCTGAAAATTTAATCAATGAGGGTTGGTTAGAGTCTACACATGTATGTATTTGATTTTTGTCCGGATAGAGAGTTTCTTTCAAAATATCCTTCTCATTCATACTATTACTATTCCCTTGGTTTATAGTATAGGCAGAATAATTGTCCAATAGTGGAGAGATATGCTTAGGTGTCACGTGTTCGCATAACTCAAATTTGTCTAGATGGCATAAGTCTTCTGTTTTTTGAAATTTTTCTTCCCTTTCTTCATTAACCTGCATTACTTCGTCATTAGGCAGCAATGTGTATATGGATCGATCTTCAACTGTTTGAAATTTGGCATGCTCATTAAATGCATCTCGTCTGTCTTGGCTTGACACACCTACTGTCTCTTGAAGAGAGTTATCATTGTCGTCGATTGATTCGGTGTTCCTGCATGTCATTTTAAAAAATGCATTATCTGTAACACAAGGTAGAGATTCCAAATGTAGGGTGTCCTCCTCAGTGTTAAACGACCTCAGATGCTGTGTTCTTGGGACTGCAACTGATTCACAAGGGGAGGGATAACTTAGCAAAGTCTTTCCATATTCCATGAGTTCTTTTTTCTAAAAAGAAGAGGTGGTAACGAATAAAAGAAGTTTAAATTTATATAGTGAATATATAAAAATGTATAAGCTTCACGAAAATGATAACCATAGCTTAATTTGTGAAGCATTGATAGATCTTAAAGAAAGGGAAAAATAGTTACAAAACAAAAAACTACAAATTCAGTAAGACTTCTAATTCCACTTAGGTATTTATCCTGAAGTTCAATATTCAATATTTCCCGTCAGCTAGTAATTTAAACACTGCAATTATTAAAGGATATCTTCTCCATTCATTTGTATTCCCAGTGGAACTTAGGGCCTAAATCTTCAAGCTTTAAAATCTCAGTAGTGATGGTATTCATTTTTCACCAGATGGGGTCGCTAGCCCCACACCCAACTCTCTGTCTTTACCTGCCTTACTAACGGATAAGAGAGTTTTGGGAGTGCCTGTGCCGGGAATCCAACTCCGGAACACGTGCTTGGTTGGCCAGCATTCTACCAGTGATTCACCGATGCACTATTTGTGGGTATTAGACACTACCCTTTAGAATAGACTATCTGTTAACCTTTTCGATTCAATGTGTGCCATCGTGAAATAGTAACTGATAATAATTTTAAAAAGCATACCACTGAATATGACACAGACATCATAATCTAAAATAATTGTTGAATGTCTACAACCAACTAATTCTAGAAATTATTTTTAGCTTAATCCTACAAAAATTAAAGTGACTTTTATATATGAAGCAGCCTCTAGAAAGACCACGTTTCAAATTTCATGTCTGCCGATATTTTCGAATAATTGTATCTGCACTGTTGGCGGAAATATATCCCAAATAGAAACCGAAACATGTCAGTAAATACCACAGTTGTGAACGTCTTGATTAGGCTGACAGAAATGACGGTTAACACATAAGCTTATCTAGATAATTAAGATAGGAAGACCAGAAAAGATACGAAACAAGATACTGTGGTAATGAGCCAGCTGAGAACCTATTGCCCAACAAATATGTAGAAGGACGTTTAGATGGATTTCACATGAGCAAAGGAAACCTTCAGATGACATCACGGGTCATGTAAGCCCCTCTACGAAACAAGAACAAAGGCGAAGAGGTGAATATAGGTCTGAGGCTGACTTGGAGGTGACCATGTGAGTTGGAAACCAGAGCTTTAGGACAATCGTGGAGGCAGAGAAACGAGTGAAGTGAAGGTGTGCTGTAGAAGTCGTATATCACACTCAGATCGCAATAAGTGAATAATTATAATCAATACTGGATTTGGATTTCATTCGCTTAGAAGCTTACTTTAGTTCACTAATTAGTATATCATCATAGATGGAAATTACCCAAAGTATCTTCTAGTAGTACCCTAAATCCAGACCTAATAAAAAAGGGAGGTGTTAGGGCGGACAGTCTTCTTTGTTGGCCATGAAGTCGTGATTTATGTATGTACTGATTTGATAACCTCATTGGACATTTCTGATTCGTTAATTTACAGCTTAAGTTTGTGGGGTTTTTAAAAAATAATATTCCATATATTTTGTCTAGTAAATGCCGCTGGATTTGTAGTTGTCCATCTTTCCGGTTGTCGTTTTTCCCAGTCTGACTTTTGTGTCTGTCTCAGTGTCTGAGATGTTTTCAGTTCACTAGCTGGTAATAGTGTCACATACTGGAGGCACCTTCTATTCAAGTTAGACGACCCCACCCCTTAGTAACAGTTCGTCATAAAAGTTTTGTTATGTTTCCAAAGGACAGTAGTTTATTTAACCAGTCTGAATATGCGTTTGAAGTTCAGTGCCTTTCTTCAGTCGACAAAAAGGTGCAAGTTCACGTTTCTTATCTACCAACACATATGAGTATGGCACACTTACAACATTCAAAAAGCTCAGTTTCTGAAATATTTCATGTCACACGTGCCATCAACAGCTTCGTTGCAAAAAATCGTTTCATATTAACACTATAATTCTTTTATCAAGGCCGAATGTATGAAATGAAATGAGTTTTTCTCTTATCTGTGAACGTAACTATCATATTTAATGAAAGTAACATTTTTTTCACTAACAGATAGGTGAAATTCAAGGATAGGAAAAATATTTCACGTATAATGAGAAATTTTTATGACAGTTTGACCTTATATACCTGTATAGATATATTTAAATTAGGTTGTCTTTGCAAGGTCATTTAGTTAGTTAAGCATAAGGACTATTATCTAGATGGATAGAAGGAGATACATATTAAAAAGTATATGACACTGTACAACGAAGTTATCACATAAGTTTCCACATCACCACATTCAGTTTGATTGAATAAACCAAAGAAAATTAAGGTGAATAAAACTAAGGAAATGGGGTATTAGAGGCGAAGAATTGAGTGAGAAGACTAGTTAATGGAATAGAGTTAAACACTTGTATGAAGATATGACACACATTTCTTGAAATAGTTGCAACTAAGGAGCTTAAACGTGGTTTTACAAAGTGTCTCAATGATGTTGGAGGATTCTTCTTTTTTTGATCGGTAAAGGAAAATATTTGAGAAGCAATTAAACCTTATAAGTCGTGCACAAAAACATCTTGTAACAAAGTGTCAGTTATTTAAAAGCCTGTACTTATCGATTCGTTGAGTGGTTTTTAAAGCATTTGTAAGTGTAGAACTTGGGCACTGTGATACAATGTCATTTCATATTAGATGAGTTTATTTTAAATATTACACAATAATGCAGCAGGTCGGGTGTGAGGAAAAATACTCGCCAAAGACATTGGCTAGTGGTTGAGCTATATTGTGGATTGGCAGAAGATAGAATTCATGGGCCATTAAATCAGGTCCCAGTGGCTTAGTGGTATACGAGCTCGCCTTGTAACCGGAAGGTCCTGGGTTCGAATCCCGGTGAGTGCGTACTGATGAAGAGTCCCAAACTAGGATGAAACAGCTGTCCAATACTCCCAGGTTTTCCAATGGTTCTCTAACTAATGTCAGCTCATGATGAAATCCTGTAACCAATCAACCAAATCCCTACAAACCAATACTTGAATGTTTAACTAGTAAGCCAGAAGATTTAAAAATTGAAATTAAACAAATAAAGGAAATATTACCAGTGAATAACTACCCAGCAGAGTTTATTCAAAAATATATGGAGAATCAAAAGTCAAGATTAACAATGAAAATGCTGTATAAAGAAGGAACAACAGAGGCCTTACGTAGGAGGCTGGAATTATAGTGACATTTAAGCCAACTAACCAACTCTTTCAGAGATAAACTTTGTCGACTTAAGGACCCAGTAGATCCAATTAAGAAAAATAATATATATATAACCAAATACCATATAATGACTGTGAGGTCAGTAACATTGGTCAGACTAGTGGATCGGGGTCAACTAGATTACTAGAACATAAAAATTTAGCTAGACCTAGAATGATTGACCTTACTAAGTTAAATAACCTAGAAAAGAACTTAGCCGTTGCACTGCATTCAATTGCGTGTAATCACACAACAGTTTGGATGGGACAGGTTCAGAGTATTAAAAAGTAATGTAGTTAGGTGGGGAGATAGAGAAGTTAATCATTGACGCTTTGTTTATCAATTCAACATAGCACACACGCCAACGGAATGACGTAACACCTACACAGCAGATATGGAAAGTGGAAACAAACAACAAGGGAAAGTTGGAGAGGGAGAAAAAGAAGAAAATAGATACATAAAGCAAATCATTGATATAATTATGAGCAGTAATTTATGCTCAAAACCTTGTTACAACAGAAGACGAGGGCTGGCAACAGATGGTTTTATTACGAAAATCAACACGTATTTATATGTATTTTATGTACATTAATAAGGCTTATGCAAGCAGAAAAAGGCAGTCTTCTGATTGGTTGTTTCACGGAAGTTAAGCAGACAAACACAGTCTTATGATTGGTTGTTTTCGATATTTCTCGGAAAGTACAGCCATCTATCTGCGAATCATATTTGTCCACATTTAAGTTTGCTGTGATTGGTTGTTGAAACAGCCTTGTTCATATTTTCTCACGGCCCATATTAGTGACCTAGATATTAACGTAGATTAGTGTCAACCAATCGGCTAGCAGCCTGCTCTCACCACAGTTATCCAGTTGTCATTACGGCATCACTGTATGATTATTAAAATAAACTTATCGAATATGAAAGAGCGTTTTGATTCCTTGTACAAAAGTAGAGAGTTCTGTTTATTTGAGTGTGGAGTTCCGAGAATTAGATTGTTTCGATTACTACATTTCACCAAGAACCAACATCGTGACAAAATCTCACAAGTGAAGGTAAATTAATCGGAATGCGCACAAATCGCATATTCTATGTAACAATTAGGACATAAGTGCAGTTTACTTTTTATAGAATGTGGTTACTTGCCAGCAAATAATGCTGATGACTAACAACAGCCTACCATAATTCTTCCTAGTGAGTGGTAGTAAAAAGTAGTCTTGTATTTAGAATCATGCGTGAATCGTACACTATAAATAGAAGTTTTGAGTTAAACAAGGAAAATCATAGAAATGATTGTAATAATTGACATCATATATATTTGTATCAATGCTGGAGATTTTTTTTCCAATAAATCATTGATACCAGTAGAGGGATAATTGTGCTAAAAGAAAAAAGAAAGTGAAATTTGATGGATTCAAGATGAGAATAGTTGCTGGGTTTGTTTTCTTCTTGACTGATTTTACCTTGCTTTAATACAAAACACACTAGATTGAATAAAGCAAAAACAACGGTTCCTGCAGAATAGGATGGTACCACCATTTATTTGGTTGGCTTCTCATCAGCTGCGTACAGCCTAAAAAAACTAATAAGTTTATGTAGAGAACAATTTTAATATACTCTCAAATGTTATACAATGTCAGTTGGCAGGAAACTTCAAATTCAACAAACAGTGCTCAAAAATTACGTTTATATAGCTTAAATAAAGCAAGAGCAACAGTTGTTTGCAGAATTAAATGGTACGAAAATTTATTTCGTTGGCTTCTCATCAGCTGCTTGCAGACCAAAGCC